AAGCAAAAAGAGTGGAGGAACCTCTTTATTAGTGTCAAAATATTTAGGAAAATTAAATTTAGAGTAACAAAATGAATTTTTAGTAAATGGTAGCAAATTACCGTTTACTAAAAATTAATGAAATAAAGATGCCAAGCAAATAATATAGAAACAGTTTGTGTTGAGCAGACTTAACAAGACCCTGGTCCGTTCAGCTTGGTTTATAAATTTTTTATGTCTACATATCTGTTACAATTTTAGGTTTGTCATATGACGCAATAATGCAATGTAAAAGATCAAAGTTTACATATTTTTTTAAATGTGTTATGCAAATGTTTGATTGTAAATTAATTTTTTTTTTGTTTGAAACTTATTTGTACTTAGTTGCTGAGTTATTTACAATAAATTTAGTTATTTTTAATAAATTTATTTATTTGTGTGCATTTAACGTTTTAAGTTAACAATTTTCTTTTCTAAAAAAATTAATCAAGGGGATACCAAAATATTGATGACTCCTGTATAATATAAGTTAACTTCATCTTAATCTTATAAATAAATGTTATAAAAATTATTACAAGGATTTAGTTGATACTTTCGTCAAATTAAAGCTGTTGATAAAGTGTTATTATTTTGTGTCAGTAACAAAAAACGTATTGTGTTGAACTTAGGAATGTCGAGGAAAATGGTTTTGCTTTACACTGTTATGACTTATGTCAGTCGTAAATTACTCAAATAATGTTAAGTAGTAATTGTAAATGTTAAGTAGTAGTTGGTAAATTATTTTACCTCCTCATACTTTTTATGTTAATTTTACAGATAGATTAATTTTTTCAATTTGAAGGCGTTTTTCTAAAAGGGTATTGGTTAAGGTTTTGCAACATTAAATTGTTAATAACAGCCACTATAAACTAGTTACGTAACAGACCGACCGTAACCCGTATTACGGATTACTTATTGCTAGTACTAGTTATTTATCTATCGCAATTTGTTATAAGAAAAAGAGTATAAACGGTTTAAATAAATTTTAATAATTCGGGTCTTGATTTTACAAAAAAAGCGAAACATGGATTTGCTCACTGGAAAAAAGTATCGACTTATATCTTTGTTCTTCCTAAATTCACTTTACTCTTGGTCCGTAGAGCGGGTTATGACGCTCCTTGTAGAGCCAAACTTGTTTTTGCGGGTCTTGGTAATGTGGCGTCTGTATGGCAACTAGCCGGGTAAACCATAATATCTAACGATCTACTTACTAAACGTGACAAGTGACTAGTGATTGACCGGAAATAATATTCTGCCGGAACCGGAATGGAACTAAAAATTGATTTTTATTATTTATTACCGGAACCGGAATAGCAAATAAACCCAAACCGGAACAGAAACCGAAACCGGAACCGAAAATCAATAATATATATTATTTTTCAATGTTAGTTTTAATTTAAGGTGGTTATCGGGTAAAAAAATTATTTTTGGATTGCCAACTTAAATATTTGTCTTCTCTGATAAAGAGATAGTTGAAGGCAGAATGCTTGTAGAATCCAAGAAAACTTCGACTACAAAACAACATTATGCCTTTTGTTTTAGTTTTTATGCAAGAAAATAGGTATGCGGAAATAGCCGTTTAACGGAACCGAATTTTGTGCTAAAATTCTGTGCCACGTTTTTTGAACCTTTTTTTTTGAGGTAGTGTCAGAAAACGCTTTATTATGGTGTTTCTTTTTAGAAAAGTATACCAACATAGATTATTTTTGAAAAGAAGAAACTTGGATCTATATTTTTATTTATCAATTATGTATGGATGATTTACTTTTTGTTGGATTTATAGATATTGAAAATTTACTTGATGTTGTCACGTGAAATTTGTATTGATGGAATACTGAGACATTTTGCAAAACTACTGAGACATTTTTTTACATCTATTTTTTATTCACCTGCCAAATTTCAAGAAAAATATTGTATATTAGATAATTTAAAATGTGTAGCAGTTTTAGTACCTAAATTTTGTTTTCACAAATTCGCGATGGGTATTGTTGTAGTTGGGGGGGGGGGTTGGAATCTACATACTATGTATATAGCAACAACAGTAATAATAATACTGTCATTATTATTATTGTTGTCGTTATTTTATTAATTTTATTGTTATATATTTATTATTCATTCATTATTTATGTATATAATATATAATATAAATACACTATATTATGGTTTAAATATTCTTTTAGATAAAAAGCAGATATTTGTTTAACAATCATTGTTAATTTCATCAATCGATCTCAGATTGATTTTTGTAAACAAAAAATTCATTTTTGGAAACGAAAAAATTTCAGAAAAGTTTTGAAAATCTTCGGATATCACTTTATCGAGTAAGGTATTTATGTTTTTATGGAATTAATGCATCAACACAAGAAAGTGTTCATATAAATAGCGTTCACTTTACGTCGAAAGATAAATGCCTTGTTATTGCTTTGGATCAATGCCCAGGAGGAACAGCTGATGATTACAAAAATCATATTTGTAGAGCAGTAGATCATCTAGCTTTCATTTATTCAGATTTTCATTTACGTAATTATGATGAGTGTCGTCAATTGAATATTGAAAATATTTCCAACACGATATCAGAGAGAGTTGCAGGTCAGCCATCTGACCATAAGCAAAGTTAGTGCAACTTGGGGTAAAACTCTGAATTAAGTGAATTTTCATTTGCACCCTCTTGATACAATTACTACTGAATGTCGTTCAGCATTGAAGTGTCTAGAGTTAGAAAAGTGTGAATTATTTGGCAATGATTATGTAGCCGTCAAAATTGTTTTGGCTATGAATAAGATGAGGTTTAAAGACGGTGAAAGTGATCCAGAGGGATTTGTTACTTTTTTAATCCTCAAACTACCTAGGTGTATTATCCCTAGATATCGAGGAAATTGTCTTCATATTCTTTTTAATACTTGTTATATATTTATTAAACACTATGCTGCTTTTCTAAATTTTCTGATCACTGGATTAGTAAAATGTGGCAGTTTGCAAGCAGCTCTGCGAGAAGCATTTTGTAATGCAACCGCTGTAAAAAAAAATGTGTGTGCTTGGTGTATCTGGGAAACTGTTAAGTGGTCAGTGGATGACAAAGTTTTATGTATCAGCTGAGGATGCAAATTTTGATCATCTCACCGGTATTCAGATTGTATAAAACATTTTGGAAACAGTTAAAGTTTGCAAATCTAATCCGCCTGCACTGTTTTGCAGTGCAACAGATTTTTTTGGGGAAATGCTTACCTCAAACGTTTTTATTGTTTTTAAAAATTAATGCTGCATTGATTACCAGGTTATCAACATGACTTCAGCTTGTCTTAATGCAGTAAAGAATGTATTGATTAGACAATGTAAAAGAAACTTCTACCTTTCCATTACAGAGACACTCAAGCAGGAAACAGCTAGTGCAAGGTTTCACAATATATTTAGTGAAGAGTTAATTGGTATGTTTAGTGAAACTAAAGGAAGATCCCCTAATGCAACAATTTTATATAATTCTTGCAAATAAGATCAAAAAAGAATAGAACTATTTATTATCTTGATAGTTTAGATAACTAACTAAGTAAAGAAAATGTAATTAATAGTCCATTTTCACAGCACGTAAAGAAAGAAAGAGAAATTGCCTACAACATGTTCAAATTCGATCTGTATTATTTATGAGACAGACATGGAAGCTTCAAGGAGGGGGGGGGGGGCAGCGGGCGCACGCCCCTGTTCCTCGAGTAAAATTATACCCTAGTAACCACTAGTTGTAATGTAGTAAAATATTTTTTTTTAGGTGGGGAAAGAGACTGGGAGAGGGGCGTGTACCCCTCACCTTGACTTGAGTTAAACACCACTAACCACTAGTTGTAAAGTACTGAAATTTAAATTTTGTTTTTTGTTCTAGATTACTTTTTTAATTGGAAATAAATAGTATTTTTAAAAAAAGAGTTATTTTTGTTAATAGTACGTGTTAAACAAGCACCATCACATCCACCCCTAACTCAAAGGTACACATCTCATATATGGTGGTGATCTGAGAACAAAATATTGGAACTTTTGTTTGATAAAAAAGACAATTTTCAGTATGAAAATACTTTTTTATGATAGAATTTTCAATTTATTGGTGGTAAAAGTAGTAGTTCGGGGCCTCCTCTTGCCGCCCATTCACGCCCTGTGGCTAGATGCTACTCTCAAGTAAACTTGATATCGAACATAAGTTCAATATCAATTAAATAAGTAAATTCCGCTCTTTTTAACGATATATAACAATATAATATTTTGTACATTTTAAAATTTAATGTGACATACCTAATGGAAAGGATACTGTTTAAATTTATATATTTTGATCCGCAACTCGTGTAAGGTGCAACTTATAGATGAGCAATGGTCTAAAAATCATTTTATAAAATTGTTTTTTATTTATAATTATCAGTTGTATCTTCTTAATTAAAAAACATTCTCTCAACAACTGAGATTGGTTTTGTTTATGTGCATTTATCCCCTATAAAGATGGCGTCGAAATCTCATATGCCGAAACTACCCCTTATGAAAGTCCCTTATTGGACTATCCAAAAATCATTCAACGCTTCTTTTATCATTTTGGAAGATCAGACAAAGCAAAATCTTATTTCCGTTAATTTTAAAACTTATCATTTAATAAAAATTTTTTTTTTTGAATATTTTATCAAAATGATAATGCTTAATAAAGCTTTAAGATATTCATTTTCGGTAGCATTTCGAAACGAAATACTGGCCGGAACCGAAATCTTTATTAATACCGGACCGGAACAGAAACCAAAAATCTTGTCAGAGATGTGGCCGGAGCCGGAGCCGAACGGACCCTTATCATCCAGCGGACACGAAGGAACCTTAACATCGCGATGTTAAGGGTTCTTCGTGTCCGCTGTAGTGATTTTCCGAAATTCGGTACGATGCATCCGTCCAAATAAACATTTAAGAAAAATATGTAATAAAGCGCATGCGCTGAACAAAAAACAAAACAAAAAAGAAGCAAAACTCAGATAAAATATTACTCCTTAATGGCGTATGAACGTGATTCCTGCCAAGGTTCTTACAGATCATTATTATCATATTTGGCAGATGATTTAACTCAAAAAAATCTGAAACATTTGAAATTTCTTTTAAAAGGTGATCTTGGTGGTAAGAATTAGAAAAATGATTTTTTAACTTTTAATCAAATATTACCTGATATTACCTGAAGTTATATTGATTTATAATATTAGGTACGTGGACTGATTTTTTTTAATTGAACATATACTAGAATGTTATATATCATTAGAAAGCCCTTCAAAAATGTATTTTAATGGTGAAAAAATTATTAAAAACGAACAATTTAAAAAAAAGTTATGACGTTTTTAGTAGCAAATTTTCGATATATGGATTTCTTGAAGAAACTGGTTCCAAAATTAATTTTTTTTTCACTGAAATTGTTATAACTTTGTCAAATCTTATCCAAATGCCTATACCTTGGTATCAAAAGATAGATGTAATAGTAGGCTACAAGTTCATATAGCTCTATAGATAAAAGGGGTGTCTAGAGGGCCAGAGGGGGTAACGGAACACCATCGAAACCTTAAAAAAATGCAAGTTTTTCACACGAAAGAGTATTTTGCTGATAAAATTTGTTATCTTTATACACAAAAAGTTGTTCTAATTTGCTTCCATTACTTTTCCAAATATTATTGGTCTATTTTAGATTAAAGGGTGGATGTATTTGTTACGTTTTAACACCCTTGTAGTGAAATGTTACCATCTTATAAATATTTGAGCCTAAAAAACACTGATTATATTTTGTGTTAAAGACTTTAAATTATATTTTTTTACTTAACAGAATATACAAGTGGTGCATAAATTGACATTAGGGGCGGAACGATGACAAGCTTAACGCCCCTCCCTCCCCCCTTCCTCTCAGTCTTTTCCAACCTAAAAAAAAATTTTAAAAGATATTTAAAAAATGGTTTTAAACTGAGTTAATTTAAAAAGAGAAATTAGTATTTAAGATTATTTTACCATGTTAGTGAGGGGAGGGGTGTGTGCCACGCCCAACGTCCCCCCCCCCACCTCTTCTTATTTAAACTTTAAAAAAATGTCAATAAAAATTTCAAAAATGTCTTTAAATTGTGTAAAAAGCGAGACATAACTTTAATAATCTTACCACATTACAAGATGCAGGTTGGAGTATCCACCCTAAAAATTAACCACAGTTTTAAAACTTATATTTTAAAAAGTTTTAAAATACAAATTATAGAATTTATGTCTTGGCTTTTAGTAAATGATATTATTTAAAATTCCAATAATGAAACTAAATAAATCATTTTTAACAATAGACACCACGAGAAGGTAAGCCAGAGCCGTCTATCAAAAAAATTTTGCAAGCTACACAACTTGCTGTACCATATTTGCAAGCTAAATACTTTTTCACTCCATCCTGTAACACACATCCACTCTTTTTTGGACCCATAATTCCTTTAAAATGTATATTGAGCTTTACTATATTATAATTTTAATTAAATTTCTTAAAAGGTAAATCAATAACATATAATAATTTGTTAACATTCCATAACATTATAATGCAACATGTAAACAAATGTATTAAATAAAATATAATTAAAAAATCTCGTTCATACCTCACAAAACAAGTATTGGTTGCAAGGAAGAAGTATTTCAATATTAACAATGCTAATATAATTTTTAGGAACTGTAAACATAAGCCAAACAAGTTTAAGATTAATGAATGTCAAAGAAACAGTTTCAATAAACTAAAATATAAATAGTAAAAATGTATAAGACTCTTAACATGTATAAACTTTTGAAAGTTACATATATTTATTATATTTATTATGGGCTACAAAATCCTTCAAAAATTCTTTTAGTACATATAATATAAATAGTACAAATGCAAAAGACTCTTAACATTTATCAACTATTGAAAGTTACACATATATTTATTATATTTATTATGGGCTAGGAAATCCTTCAAAAATTCTTTTAGTACATAAAATATGAAAACTATTTATAGTTACAACTTTAATAATTTTTATACTACAATTTTTAAAGACATTGAAAAAAAATATTTTTCTTACAAACTAGTTCACTTGTCAGTGTTTCATTTTTAAATTATTTTGGAAAAAAAATTAAACTTTAATAATTGTAGAGTTAATATACCATATTTTTAATTTAATTTTTTGAAAAGTAAACAAACAATATATAAAAATTTGTTAATAATTAATAGCATTATAATACAACATGTAAAAAAAAATCTCATACATACCTTCTGCAAACAAGTAATGGTTACATAATTATAATATTTAGGAACTGTAAACATAAGTTAACCTGGTTTAAAATCAAACAATTAAACTGGTTTAAAACCAATTAATATTCTTAACTCAAAAAAAAGTATATAAACCAAATAAAATAAAGAACAGTAATTAGGTATGGAAAAGATATTTAACATTTATCAACTCAATAAAACATTACATATAAATTTGAAACTGCATTTAATATAGGCTATGAGAAAACCTCAAAATTTCAAAACCTCAAAAAATCCTAAAACTTTTAATTACATTGAAAACATACAAAACAGGTCCCTTGCAAACTACTACATCTGTCAATGCTTTGCTTTTAAACCATTTTGTGAAAGACTTAAAATAAATAAATCAAATGTTAATAATTGCAAAAGTAAAAAATCAAATACTGCTCTGGGTTTTTACTTCTACTACACTTTGAAGGATAACATAATATAAATGTACTAATTTGTGAATATAAATAAAAATATAATGAATTAAATAATCATTCAGCAACATTTCTAAATCATAAATTTACCAGCAGAAGGTTGTGTTGATTGTTGTGGAGGTTGTGGGACCAAAGGTAAAATTTTTTAAAAATAAAAATACAATTTACTTGCTATCGATAAGATATGCATGCACATATTAGAAAAAATACTTTTACACATGTAAATTATGCATACACATATTAGAAAATAATAGTTTATAAACGTACCACTTGTAGCAGCTGAAGATGTAACTAAAGGTTAACAAAGTTGAAATAAAAATAAATATTGTGATTGCTAAGAAATGCATAAACATATGAAAAAGGTAAAATTTTGTAAACATACCAATTATTCCAGATGTAGATGGAACTAAGTTAAAAAAGAAGTGTAATAAAAAATTAATATTGCAATTGATCCGAAATACATACATACATGAACAGGCTTTTTGAAGGATGCAATAAAAATATTTTTAAGCTTACCACTCAATGCAATTGAGGATGGAACTAGAGCTAAAAAGTTTTAATAAAAAATAAATTTGCAATGCTCAAGAAATGATCAATAAATTTTGCAATTGACGATTTTGAAATTGGTATTAAATCTATTTACAGATTAAAAAGTACTAGCTTTTAAAATAACTAACCGTAGCAACTGATAAAAGGAATGAAGATCAAAAATAACATAAATTAAACCAAGATATACATTCTTATATTTGATAATCTAGTTATCCTATACAAACTTACCTGTGGTAGGTTACAAACTTACCTGTGGTAGGCTGGGTAGATTGAACTAAAAATAACAAAAAAAGTGTATAATTACAACAAAACACTATGAAATTATGAAAGAATCATAGTTATGTGGAAGATGCAACAACTGTATTAACATAATGAAAACTAACAGTGAAAATGTAAAGAAAATATATTAATAAACAACAAGCTAACATTAGGAATGGTTATTCACTTTGTTTATATATTAATTACATTATATTGGTTGTGGTTATATATAAAATATGTGATTTATACTTACGATATCTCAAAAAAGCTTCATAATGTGCAGAAGGATCTAAACAACATGTAAACATTAGGCATGCTTGTATTATGATTTAAATAATAATCCAAAGATAAAGAAGTATACAATCCAAAAATAATAAAAGATGATAATAAGATGATAAGTTTTATTATATTTGAAAAATGCTAACAAGATTTTTGCAAGTAATAAACCAATGAATTATCTGATTTGTATGTTGTGTCATAATAAAATTGACAACAGATACTAATAGTTAACAATACATTCAAAAGCAAAGTTTTAAATTGAAGCATTAATCTTCTTTTTAATGAAACATATAAAAACAGATTAAGAATTAATCTGTTTTTATAATATAAAAACAGATAAATTATAGTTACATAAAAAAGAATTTTAAATAAGAAAGTATTAACAAATGATATATAAATATTTTTTTGATTTAAAATAGTTATTATTGATATTATTATAAAAGAAATTAAACTTACTATCTGTTATAGATCTAACAACATCTCTGTTACTAACAGTGTTAGTATTCATTTTTTTTTTTAATCTAAAAATAAAATTCAAAATAATACGATATTGGGATTTGTTATGTTTTTGTATAGTCGGCCCCCCTATCCACACCCGTAACAAGCTTAACGAAAAAAAACAACAGAAAAACCAAAATTATGTACCAAAAGTCTAACACCTAGTATACTATCTGCTACCAATTATTTTTCGTTGATTTTTGGCAGGTGCTTAGAAAATGTATGTAAAATATAGAAAAACTAACAAAAAAAGCCGGCTCAACATTCCTTCGACATTAAATTAATGTGAGAACAGGGACAATATTTTCATGCAATATTGTCAGCAAAATAATACATAAAAATGTTGGGTAACCATGCATAAAAGTCATATAAAAATCTAGATCTACCTTTCTTCTTTATGAAAATAATTTATGTTTATGCATGTTTCTTAAAACAAACACAAAAAAAAACGTTTACCTAAGGCTACCTAAAATAAGTGGTATAAGTAATATAATACATTTTAAACTATCTGCTACCAATTATTTTTCGTTGAAATTTGGCATGCCCATAGAAAATGCATGTAGAAATATGTCTGAATAAAAAAAAAAGCCGGCTCAACATTTCTTCTACTACAAATTCATGTGAGAACACCAACCAAATATTCAGAAGCAAAATAATCGATAAAAAAGTGTAATAACTATGCATAAATTTCTTAAATAAAGCAAGATTAGCTTTTCTTCTTTCCAAAAAGTATCTATTTGTATATCTGTTTCTAAAAAGAAATTCCACAAAACTACGTCTGCCTCACGCTGCCTTAAAAAAGAGTGAAAAAAACGAGAACCAAAATTTTAGCACAAAAATCGGTTCCGTAAATCGCGATATCCGCGTACCTAATAATATATCTTATTTTATTAAATTTATTGGGTTTTTGTATAATTATATTTTTAAACTAGTTTATATTTTGCTTTCATTTAATTTATATACTTAATGCAAATATTTAACTTCTCATCATATATAATAACTGTATTAGTTATTAAATTTAAAATTTCATTTTTTTAAATAGCTGGTGAAATTGAGAAAATTAATGATACACTCAAATACTTGGAGGTTCTTGAAAACAAAAGGTTAATTTACAAGGATGAATTAAACTATCTTATTAAAGCTTTAAATTCTATTGGAAGAAATGATCTTGAAACAAAAGTCAATGCGTTTGTACATGAACAAAACAAAAATGTGTCAAGTCAGTTTTTTTTTTGTGCTTTTTTTTTTTAATAGAACACTTTTTGCAATAAATATTGTACAATAATGCTTAAAAATATTATTCCATTAAATATTTATTTATGTAATTTTTTCCATTTAAACCCCATTTTAAAATAAGATTTAACCCCATTTTAAAATAAGATTTATTTTATCCTTCTAACCTTGAATTGTCTAAAAATGCAATAATCATCTTAAGTATTTTAAAAATTATGCAATATTTTGGTCAAGTATTTCCAAAGTTATGCAATTTTTAAGGTATGAGATTTAGATATATGAAAATGCCATTGTCTTGCTAATTTTTTCATATTATTAACAAATTATATATCAAAATAAAGCTTAGTAAAAAAATTGATATGAAAAATATAATAAGCAATAAACTGAAATTAAAATTTATATGTTGTTGTCAAGCCAATGAATAAGTATAGTCAGTAAATTATTATTTTTTCACTATCTGTTACAAAGTTCCAGATTTTTAGGCAAAATAAGGGAATAAATATTTTGCATTAATGAAAATTCAATAAAACTACCTTGTGATCTGCAAAATTTTACTATGCAAATTCAGGGTAACAATGCTTCAAAAAATTGTATTCCTTACAATATCTTGTCTGTTTATATTCAGTATGTGCTCATCAGATTTACTTCAAATATTCAGTAAGGGTTATAAAGTTTATAATATAAAAGATCTTTTGATTTTAAGAAAGAACCCATGTTAATTTTTGGAGCTGCGGTTCATAAAAAAACCATCAAAGATATGCAACGTAAAATTAGACTATTTTTTATTTACAAAAATAAACATGAAATATATTAAATTATGCATTGAACTTTATCTAAATATATACGAAATTTTATTTCATTTCGTTCACAAACTTTTTGCCAAATCAAAAAAATGAAGCTTATTCTCACATCCCTATTTATTGCTTGTTTATTATATTTGTCACAATTTCATTGTGAAAATTGTTCTTTATGACTTAATAGTTAAATTTGTTTTAATGAAGCTTTAACAGTAATATTAATTCAACTAGGATTAAATCAGGTGATGTATCTAATAATTTTGCCAATTGCAAGTTTTAATTGACCAAATAAAAGCACACATAAGGCACATTTTATTAAAATCAATTTATTCTGTTTGGTATATTTTTTTGTCAGTTTTTAGTGTAATAGTTTTAAATTATTTAAGTATCACATTGTTATACATCATTAAAAGGAGGTCAAAAAAAATGATGGCATAAATTTCATGACAATTTTATAAAATATTATGATCATTTAAGTAATTTTATTACTATATTACATGGATATCTTAATAAATTGTGAAAACTTCAAAAACTAAATTTTGACACTGTAGTTCTCTTATGTAACTTAATTTGCTTGTTTTCAAAAAGTTGTTAAAACAGCAAAAGAGGATAAGTAAGGTATTTCCACTGTGTGCAAAGATTTTAGTTTTTCTAGATTTCTAAAAAGTTTTTGGTAAATGCAAATTATAAAGGTAAAAATAGGTAAAGGATTTTTGTAGGGTGAAAGGCAGGGTTCCTAGCATTAAAATGAGGCAAAATTTGATAACTATTGATGATAACAATAAAGAACTAATAACTAAATAGCAAGTATTAAAAAAAATAATTGAAAGTATTATCAAAATGGCAGTTAAAAAACATAGATTACACCTCCACAATCAAAAAGACACTCGGAAAACTTAGACATTCATAAGAGAAGTAAGTTTTTCTTCCCCAAAAAATGAAAAGACGATCATAGATTTGAATATCTTTTATTTAGTGGATTCTGTGAGAGCTACCGAAATATCTATGTTAAACTCAATTCTAGGCTGCAACATGAACCTGAAGAAACATGGTATGTTGGTCTACCAGCATTTGTTTTTAAAAACATGAGCTGCAGCTATTCGGCAAAACATAATAGTAATTATTAACAAAAGCATTAAAGATAACTATTTTTTAATAATGTGAAAAAAGCAAATATAGCAACACTCTGTAAAAATTACGGATCTAAATCAAAACCAGAGAGTTATAGACCTATTTCTGTATTAGGAAGGATGAACAATTCTTCCCAAACAATATGGGTTTAGAGAAAAATTGAGTTACAATAATGCTCATAAATTTTGTGGATGTTTGGCAGGGCGTGCTGGCTCCAAAAAGTACTTGCGTAAAATTTTTTAAAAAGTACATATATATATATATATATATATATATATATATATATATATATATATATATATATATATATATATATATATATATATATATATATATATATATATATATATATATATATATATATATATTGTTATTCACCTCCTCAAGGCCAAGAAGGCCACTACAGACGAGGAGGCTACTTAATAGTGGTTATAACCCTCTCTCAACTCTATAATTCCAAAACACGAGCCTTGACGAACAAGGCTGCTGAAAAAAAAAAAAAAGGAGTGTTGATTTAAATGAAGCACAGCTCCCCAAGTACATCTACAATAGCATATTTATATGCGTATGCGCAATTGCTCACTTTTTTGGCGAGCCTAAATTAAGTGAGCATTTTTAGAACACAATGAGGGAAAACGAAGAATAATGAATGAAAAGGTTGCTGTCCCATACCAAACCCTCAGTCGATGTAGCAGCACTCCACTGCGAGTCAGGCTATTTGTCAGTCGATGTATGTACTGAAGCCCCCGACATCAGGCTATTTCAGTATGACACCATCATGCTCACCTAACTCAGCAGTATAAGATATATATATATATATATATATATATATATGTATATATATATATATATATATATTTATATATATACATATATATATATATATATATATATGTATATATATATATATATATATATATATATATATATATATATATATATATATATATATATATATACATATATATATATATATATATATATATATATATATATATATATATATATATATATATATATATATATATATATATATATATATATATATATATATATATATATATATATATATATATATATATATATATATATATATATATATATATATATATATATATATATATATATATATATATATATATATATATATATATATATATATATATATATATATATATATATATATATATATATATATATATATATATATATATATATATATATATATATATATATATATATATATATATATATATATATATGGGCCTTCTCGTAATAGGCGTGCGAGGTCATATAAGAAAAAAAATCAAAACACGTATTAATTAATTTAATCTTAATTGGAAGCAAAAGTGAAAAAGTTACAGCTCTAATAATCTTATCATTCTTTCCCATGAATAAATAGGCATGAAATTTAATAAAACTTTGTGGTGCAAATTTAAAATTTTAATAAAAAGTTAATAGGATACTTGGTGCAACAAATCGACAAATGTGCGCGCATTTCTTTAAGGCAGACAGAAAAACATCACGTTTCTTTAATTTTGCTTATGCAAACGGTGCCGTTTGATTAAGATTTTTCTAAACAAACGCGTTACTTCAGGAATTTTTTCAAAATAATTTTGCGATCAATAGTTTTTTATTTATCACAAAAAATACATATTTAAAAAAAAAAAAAAAATTTATTACAGAGACTTTTTAAAAAAAATCCCAAAACATAATTACTTTTTTCAATAGCATCACTTCTAAGTAAAATAAATAGAAAAAATTAATTATGTTTTAGCATGGTTTTTGTATGCGCTCACTAAAGTATGATAATTTTAGTTAAAATAGATGCTTTTGCAAAAACTTTAAAAAAACCCGTCCTTAAACAATTTGATTGCTTTCTTTTATTGAAGAGAGCGATCGTAAAGTTTAAGATTGGTTTCTTTTCTGCTTTTAGCAGTTACATTAAAAGTTTAAAGCGAATGATTTCATTATAAATAAAATAGTGCATGCTTTTTTTTTTAATTTTCTTATTTTCCATAAACCGAAATAATGTGTGTTTGCATATTAAAAACACTTTTAAAAGTTTTTTTTATTGTGCGTTTATCATTAATTTGCGCACGCTTTGCAAATGTGTAAAAAAAAGTTTTTGAAAAATAACAATTGAATAAGTTTACCAAGCATCTTTGATATATTTTATAACTTATTAATTAGAATAAAAAGTATTTGAAATTTTTTGACATAAATCTCTTAAATTAGACGTTCGTCAATAAATAAAGATACGCAAGTCAACATTCATCAAAAAAAACGGTATGTCACGCCCTGGGATAAAAAATAGTTGGCAAATGCGACTATTTCTAGATTATTGTAATTCTTTTTTTAAGTAAATAATTTCTTTATTAGAAATTATAGTTCCATGATAAAAAGGTTTGTAATAATTTTTGGATAGCTTCTGTACTCATTTTGCCTTAAACTCTAATCTGAATATTTTTTTCAACGATTGTTTTTATTAAGTTGCATTAAAGTACTTAGAAAATTTTGTTGCAGTTTAATTGTAGTTATGGAATCAATTAAATTAAAAATTGGATTTACATTTGCTTTGTTTTCTTTTAGCGCATTTTTTAAACGCGCTAATTATCGAAACTTGCAAAGAGCCGTGGTCAAGTTGTTAAAACAAAGAACTATATGCGTAGTCATATAAAGCGTTCGATCGCACGCCTCTTACAAGAAGGCCTATATATATATATATATATATATATATATATATATATATATATATATATATATATATATATATATATATATATATATATATATATATCAAGCCTTCTCAGGAAAGATGTGCAATTGTTTGTTTCGTGTGACCACACGCGATTAGATTATTTTAGAAAATGTGAACACGGCCGTTTGCAAGTTTTATAATAATGCTGAAAAAGTTTCAAAAACAAAAAAAACAAATTTAACAAAATAAAAAGAGATTGAAATAGAAAAAAATAAAAACAAATTAATACCGTAAAACGGGGTGAATAGAAACAATTTTTAACTTTGGTATAAAATTTTGCATACTTGCAGTTGCTCTAGATAAACATTTTTTTGCCCAAACACAGGTCTCTGTTAGACCTATTTGTTTATAGTATTTAAATTTTTTAATTTTATTTGATTTTAAAGAAAAATAAATAAAACATGGTGTTTCTATTCGCCCCGCAAATGGGGGTGAATAGAAACAGTATTTCAATTTCATGTGTTTTTCTATTGAAACGAATCTAAAGAGTCACTATGCTGCACTGAAAAATCATCTTCATCTTCTGATGATTACTCCAAAAGCGTTCGGCTTTTATTTGGCTGAACTTGTTTGGTGGAACATGTGTTTTGGGGATTTAAGCTCTCATCGTCATCAAAAAAGTCCTCAACACCGATACTTTTGCCTTTTTCACATTAACTTTGGTTCTTTTTTTTCTTATCTTAGGAGTCTGATCTATAGAAACACTAGAAATTATGTGTTTCTATTCACCCCGTAAATTCAGAAAACCTAACCTAAAAAATAAGAATAATTGTTGAAATAATATTGTTAAAGTTTAAGCCTAAAGTTAGCCTAAATCTTTTATATGAATAATTAAACTATATTTTGTACAACTATTTACTTTCAAGAACACTAAGTAATCCAACTTAGCTGGAAAGTTCAAAGTAGATAAAAAAAACAACACAAGAATCACGCAGTAAAATTCAACTCAAAAACAAACAAGAACCAGTGCTGCCAACCAAGCAAACCATTAATTCACTTTCAGGTTAAAATGTAGCAACCTAAAAAAAAAAAAGTTGCCACTATTTACCCATAGCTATGTAGAAGTTAGATTATATATATAAAAATGAAGTTACACTTTAGAGTTACACTCAGCAACGAAAATAGAATAACAAAAAGGCGAAGCAAAATAAAAACAGTTTGAAGTTTATAATAAAAAGAATGATTTTCCTTTTCTTAATTTTTTTTTAAGAGGATAGTAAAAATAAAAATTGCAATGTGTTTGTAAAATTTATTTTTATAATTTTAATGTAACAACAAGGATTGAATAAAGCAAATGCAAAACGCAAAATCTGGAAAAATATCTAGCATTAAAAATTTTAGTTTATACAAAACCGTGTTCCTTGTTTATAAGGGGAGAATCAACTTAAATTTGTTAGCGAAAAAATAAAAAGTAAAACAATAAACTTACGATTACAAAAGTAAGAACATTCTAGTCACTAACTGCATTACAAAAGTAATAACACTACAATAGTGTTATTACTTTTATAACGCACTAATAACTTTTAAAATCCATTCTTTGTTCAAGCAACATTAGTATTCCCAAATTTTAATTGAAGTAGAAAAGTATCTAGAAGAATAAAGTGGATGTTCAAATAATATTAAAACTAAAGTAACTTATAAAATTGTGACAGACAACTTTATGAAAACGTGTCGTATTAAAAGTTTAGCATTATGAAAAACGTTGCTAATGGACCGTAAAAATGCCTGTTAATTTTAAAATTACTACTTTACTAAATTTTCTACTTTAATAAATGTTTGGAATTAATAATGTTGTTTGAACAAAGAATGAACTTTAAAAGTAAGAAGTGCTATATAAATGTAATAACACTATTACAGTTTTATTACTTTTATAATGCAGTTAGTGACTAAAGTGTTATTACTTTTGTAGTTGTAAGTTTATTGTTTTTGTTTTGTTTTTTGTAACTTTCTCGCTAGCAAACTTTTAATAACTTGCTCCTTATAAACAAAGTACACAGCTTTGCATGAACTAAAATTTTAAGCAAAGAATGAACTTTAAAAGCAATAAGTTTCTTATGCAGCTATTACAGGGTTTGTACTGTACCTGGAAAACCTGGAAAACCTGGAAAATCAGCCAAATTTGGATAAAGTCATGGAAAACCTGGAAAAGTCAGGGAAATTTTTTTTTTTTTCTAGGTAGTCAGGGAAAAGTCAGGGAATTCTGATTGAGAAACTACTCATTTTACAAATAAGCTATTATGTTTCTGTTGATGCTTCCCATTTATTTTGACAATTAAAAAATACCCTATAGTGTTTCACACCTTTACCACGCATATAATATTTTATTTTTAAAAATTTAACCACGGCTTTTTAACTTTTTTAAAACTTGAATATTTTTAAATGTATTTTAATAGGCAAAACGCTCTTATTACTAACAATTGTTTTAAAATATTAATCAATAAAAATATTTTATTTAAATTGTCTATGGTTATTATTTTATTTTTACAATAATAGTGTATGTTTCTTTTTTTTATTTATTATAAAAAAAATAATTCCTTTTTTTTATTTATTATAAAAAAACTAATTTTTTATGATCAATTTCAATCGTTTAAAACTATTTCTGTAATTTATTCTATAAACAACAGCATCTTTAACTTTAAACATTTTTGTGTCTTTAAAGCGAAAAACTTCTTTTTTTATTTTAAGTTACATAAGTTACAGAAAGTTTCAAAGATTTTCAACTTTGTTGAAAACTTTTGAAAGTTTTTATTAAAAAAGTAATGGTTTCTATAAGCATTACAATGACTATTAGATTAAAATCCTTGTGAAAATGAATTTTGAAAATTAAAAAAAGGTTTTTAAAGTTAATACAATGAAATTTGTTACAGTGCCCTATGTTATAAATATAAATCATTTTGAAATATTTTGTTTCCATTTTTAGAATTAAAATAATGAATAAAATAGAAAAAAAAGCTTATTTTAAAGAAGAATGGTTAAATAAAGACATTTACCCTCATTTTGACTCTTGGCTAATGAAAGGAAAAAATAACACCCAGGCAAAATGCAAATTATGCAATAAAATAATTGAACTTTCAAACATGGGTATTAAGCAATAAAAAGTCACGAGAAAGGAAAAAAACATGTTTCAGTTGCAAGCAATTTCTCTTGTTTTTTTAAATCATCTGGCTCTAAAAATACTAATTCACCTAATTCAATAGAACAGTCTAATTTAAAGACAACTGATAGTTTCTCAACAGGACAAATGAAGCAGCAATCTTTAGAACTCATCGTATCAAGTTCTAATAAAATCTGTGCAGAAATTATGTGGGCATTGCATTGTTGCTTAAATAGAATTTCTAACAATTCAAACAAAAATGTGACAAATTTGTTTCAAGCAATGTTTCCTGACAGTGAGATTGCTAAATCTTTACAAATGGGACCAAATAAAGTTGGATATAGCATCACTCATGGTCTTGGGCCTTATTTTAAAGGTTTACTTAAACAACAAATGAGCCTGTCTCCTTGGCTTGTCGTATCCTTTGATGAATCCCTCAACAAAAAAACTCAAACTTGTCAAATGGATTTACTCATCCGGTATTGGAATGAGGAAAAAATGCAAGTTGAAGTGAGGTATTGGGATTCCTCATTTATGGGACATAGTACTAGTCTTGATTTGATAAATCATTTTAATGAAAAGATAAGTGATATTAATATCAGCAAAATTGTTCAGGTCTCTATGGATGGACCCAGTGTCAACTTGAAATTTCACAGAGACATTCAAAGCAAACGTGAAGAGCACGAATTATCTAAACTTATTGACATAGGCTGCTGTTCCCTACACATAATTCATGGTGCTTTCAAAACAGGAGTAGAATCAACTGATTGGGAACTTAAAAAGACATTTAAAAGCTGCTTTACCTTATTTCATGATTCTCCTGCCAGAAGAAGTGACTTTATCAGTATCACTGAAGGTTCTGTGTTCCCGCTTTCATTTTGCGCAACCAGATGGGTTGAAGACAAAAAGGTAGCGGATAGATTAATTAGTATTTGGCCATCTATTATAAAAATTGTTAATTATTGGGAGTCTCTGCCTAAAAGTAAACGACCATCTTGCAAATCATATAAGTTTGTTGTAAATGCTGTTAAAAAAGAACTTTCTCTTGTAAAATTCCAGTTTTTTAGCTACCTGGCAAGCATGTTTGAACCGTTTCTGAAGCTCTATCAGACAGATGCTCCAATGTTGCCTCACATGAATGGTGATTTTGTGCAGTTGATTAAGAGTATTCCTAGGATGTTTATTAAATCTGAAACTATTGAGGCTACCTCAAAACTTACCAAAATTGATCTGCAAAATAAAGAGAACCATTTGAAACCCAGTGAAATTGATATTGGGTTTGCTGCTGAATTATCACTATCAAAGCTCAGAAAAAATGATGCAGTTATTTTGAAGGATATGAAAGAATTTAAAATTCAATGCATGCATATTTTATTTTCAGCTGCTGAAAAGTTATTTAAAAGATGTCCCCTTGATTCTGTGATTGTTAACACGAGTACTTATTTGCTTCCAAATTTTTATGCTCAGATCACACCTGAAAAAAATAGGAATCAAATGAAAATATTGCTGCATCATCTTATTTCACTTGGAATATTAACTGCTTCTTATTCTGACAAAGTTATCAGCCAGTTCTCAAAGTTTATTTCATCAGAATTTGCTCTGAATCAGGATGTTTTCATTAGTTATGATCGAAATAATAAACGTCTTGATGATTTTTACTTCAAAAACATTGACATAAAAAGGTATCCAGAGTTGTCATCTGTCATTAAGTTGGTTTTGACTCTGAGTCATGGACAGGCATCAGTTGAACGGGGGTTTAGTGTCAATAAGGATATGGTTACTGATAATATATCAACAGATGGTATTGTTGGACGGCGTCTTGTGCGTGATTTCATGCTTACCAACAACCTCAACCCCCACTCTGTCCAGATTACATAAGAAATGAAAGTTGCCTTTAAATCTGCCCGTCAAAAATACCAGATCATGCTTGAGAAAGAGAAGTCAAAGAATAAAAAACATGCTATGTTAGATCAGAAAGCCATTATTTTGTCTGAAATTGAAGAGCTAAAATCTAAAATGGGTTTCCTTACAAAAACTTCATTGATGCTAGAAAAAGAGTTTGTCTTAACTGTGGAACAAGCGGAAAAAGAAAACAATTTATCATTGGTCAGCAAAGCGAATGCTTTAAAAAGGAAAAGCGAGGAGAAAATAAAAGACGTAGCTAAGTTGCAGGAAACATTATTGATATTAGAAGAGAAGAGAAAGAAACTGAATTAACAATAGTTGCTTTTTGACAATTTGTATGTTTATATAAAGTATTATTTATGTTGACATTTATGCAAATATGGCTAATTAAAAAACTTTAATTATATTTTCAATATAAGATTTTGCTTAAAAAATATATGCAATTTAAAATTAATTAAAAGTTTTTTTTTTAATGTTTCTAAGCATGTTTGGTTATACTGTGCTATTTTTATCTAAAAGTATTATTGAATTAGCGAAGGTGCAGCTACAAATAGTGATAAAAAACAACTAACCCAAAGTAGTCTCTGTTATAGACCAAATATTGCTCAAAATGTTGAAAGATATCTACATAGACATTTTAGTTTATTTTTGTGTTAGTGAAAAATAATTATATATATAAAATATTTTATGTGCATAATATTTAGATATTCTTGAAGATCATCTGAAACTAAATTTTATGTGCATAATATTTAGATTTTTTAAGAAGCTCACCTGTTGTTTATTCTTAGTCATCCTTAATAATATGCATAATAAAATCTATACTAACATCCAACTTAACTAATAGCTAAGTTTTATAAGTTTTGTCATTCTTAGCATGTACATTTTAGCATTTTCATTACAGTAGTAATTTTTAACATTTTATAAAAACCATTGCAAATGTTAAAAATGGTCAGGGAAATTCATCTGATTTTTCAAAAAAGTCAGGGAAAAGTCAGGGAAATTTTTATAAATATGTGGCTACGAACCCTGTATTAAATTTAAAACAATTTTTCAGTAACGCATTTAATATAACTTGCGCAAATGGACGTGGTCACGTTCTCTAACTTGAAAAATGTTTTTGTGGTCGTACGAGAAAGAAAACCGCACGCCTTTCCTAGGAAGGCTTGATATATATATACACACACCCTGCGAATCAGCAGTTTCGAATTGAATTTCGAATCAAAGCAGGTCTTGATTTGAAATTCAATTTTAAATTATATCGCAATTTTACATATTTTTCAAAATATGTAAAATTGTGACATAAATCATGTCACAATTTTACATATTGTGATTATTATTATTAATATTATTATATATATATATATATATATATATATATATATATATATATATATATATATATATATATATATATATATATATATATATATATATATATATATATATATATATATATATGTATATATATATATATATGTATAAATATATATATATATATATATATATATATATATATATATATATATATATATATATATATATATGTATATATATATATATGTATAAATATATATATATATATATATATATATATATATATATATATATATATATATATATATATATATATATATATATATATATAAATAAATTAGAAAAAACACTTATCTAATTTTTATTTTCTTCTACAGCTTGTTTTTCCATCCGTAAGATCATCAGAAAAAAAAAAAAAAAAGAAAAAAAATATATATATATATATATATATATATATATACATATACATAAGGTGTGCTTAGGCACACTTTATGTATGCTACAATATGTATATTAAATTGATAATAATAATATATTACCTTTAATTATATATAGATTAAACTATTATTAGCTGTAGTTGGCCTTTGCTATCACAATTTAATGAGATTTAATACATAGCAATCACAAATACTATGACAACAGTTACAATGATGGCTACTCAACCTGCAATCAAGAGGTGCATTTTAAAAGATTTAGCTGATACAACTTCAATCAGAAATAAGTGATATTAAAAAAAAAATGTGGATACAGCGCATTGCTAGTTTTATTATAATAACTTGAAGTTTGTTAAAAATATGTGAAAAGAAGAATATTCACCTTAAGAATATTCACCTAAAGAATATGTGGCAAATATTCATTTACAGCTGAACAAAAACCTTTTAAATTGGTATTAACAAGTGCTAAAGATTTTCCACTACTTATCATGTTGACATTTATAAAATATAATTAAATAAATATAATTAGATTCATGTTGTCAAAATTAAACAATTAGATGGTCTTTATATCTAAAACTAGTAAAACAAACAAGTTATACTATTTCAACTGTATTACAGTCAGACCAAGCTGGATCTTCAAATTCAAGAAGCAGATAAAATATTATTAAATATAGAGACTTTATGACTTAGCATTCTAAATTTGCTAACAATTTCTTTAATTGCTCTAGTATTCGATTTGTTTTCCTAATTGCCATAGTTACATGATCTTTCCATTAATTATAGAAAATTTAATTCCAAGGTTGTATTTCATTCAATCATTGGTCTAATTGTGGCTCATTCCACATCATATAACTTTAAAATGTTTTTGATTACATTTGGCTAATTATAAATGTTGACAATGAAATAAACCCTCCAATAACCGAATAATAAAGTATGCTACTAAAAACATAAATTCTATTAGGAAAAATCTCTTCCTTAACATTTGGTTAATTATTAATGTTGAAAATGAAATAAACCCTCCAATAACCCAATACTAAAGTATGCCACTAAAAATTTCAATTCAATTAGAAAAAATCTCTAAGAAAAATCAATTTTTAGAGATTTTTTTTTTAAACTTCCTAAATACTCTCTGTCACATATTTCTGAGAAAAGATCTTAACTCTGTCTTCTGAGAGCAATCTGTTTTAGAAATAGTTTATCAATGAAATAAGTTTTTATTTATAATCGTTTCTTTCACTTGTCAAGACCTTTTTATTAAGTAACTTATTAAACAGTACACTGAGTACTATCTATGTTTTGAGTCAAGTTCTTTAAAGGGATCCCCAATATAAGTTGTGTTCATATTAAAGAAAGTGATAAAAAAAAACATTTGGGCTGAGTTTGTTTGATTAAAACTAAATAATGAATGCATTTTCTTTTGCTTCTCGGAGTCTGTGTAATGTTAGCCGCAATCTGCAGACTTGATAATTTATTCCATGCTTGTTTAATTCATAATAGTTTGGTATATGACATCATCACAATATCTTTTTAAGATAGCGTTTTTTTGTTGTAGATATAAGTATTTTTTCTACTACAATCAGAAAATAAAATATTAGTATAATTTTTTACCAAACCACAAAAAATATTTTTGATTTAGTACAAATATATATATATATATATATATATATATATATATATATATATATATATATATATATATATATATATATATATATATATATATATTTATATTTAAAATTTTTTTTTTTTTACTTGCTTTATAATTACTTTGTTTTAGAAGCAAGCCAAAATCATGTCACAATTTTACATAGTTTGTGATTATTAGAGTTTGCAGGCAGAGAAAAAATAAAGGCAATATAATGCGGTTTCTCGTTTTATATTTAGTTCATATGGTTGCTTGCTTTCATATGGTTCATATGGTTGCTTGCTTCATATGGTTGTTTGCTTTATGTTCAATTTACTTAGTTATGGTTTAACTCTTTCACTACCGCAAGTCTCTGGTAGCGGCTTTCATGTGTGCTTTACAATTTGTCTTGTTTTGTATATAAATTTCCGTTCTAGACAAATATAATTTGTTCTTAAGATTTAATTAATTCTCTACATAATCAAGAAAAAATATTGTGAAATTATAAAAAAGGTATCACTTGACAAAGTTAAAAAATCTTGAATGATTCTTTATGAAAAAACAAAATTTATAAAGTTATATTTTATAACAAATTTATAAATTATAAAAATAAAGGGTTAACACTGTAAAATTTAACCTGTATAAGTGTTAAGTGTTTAGTTAAGTAATTGCCAAAGTCTTTTGAAGAAAAAATATTCTTTTTATTCATTAAATGGTTTTTGTTTTGGGCATAATGTTTTAGTTACTTTTCATAAAAACAATAGTTTTAAGCACTTTGCATTTCTTATTGTTTAATGAAAAGTACTTTTGTTTAGCTTTTTTTTTTTTTTTTAATTATTCACCTCCCCAAGGCCCGAGGGGGCCACTAC